AAAACATAAATCACTATGTTCTTGTATATTGCAGTATATTAAACTGAAGGGTAGATGTTTTACGTTGAGGAATGACACAACTTTATAAAAAGCATATTTCAGAGAGGGGCTTTCACATTTTATGTCTTTTGCAGAACTGATAAAAAATTATGTTTCCATGATGAAGACGTGTGTTTGAAGGCAAAGTGTGAATTAGCTTTAATGTCAAAACAAATGCTCAGTTGGAACCAAAAGTAAGAAAGTGTTTACACTCTAAACAAACTTGTGTTTGGCTGTTAAGAGAAAGAAGCAATCGTGTTTCATTTAGAGAAGTTTTTTGCTTAACTGTTTTGTCTGTGTTCACACCCAGCTGTTTTTAATTTGACAAAAAGTTAAAAAGCTCTCTCACTGACTGCTCTGTCCTTCATGCAAAATACTCTCAGCTAACAACTTTGATTGAATTGCAAAACAGACTCATTATATGTCCAAATATGACAAAACAGGTAATTACCTGCMAAACATTAGCATATTGTTAGCATAACTTTTTACAAAGGTTAAAGGCTCTCCACTGCAACACCACTTTAGTTTGCTTATCTGTGCACAGGACACAGGCAGGTTTGGAAAGTAAGTTCCGAAGCAAAAAATAAATACAGTAAATAAACTAGCCATGCCAAAATCTTCTCTGCAAAACAGCTCATTCTGCATAGCCTTCACTTTTTTTTTTTAATTTTTCAATCAAACAAAAAATATTGTGGAAAAAAATCAATAAAAATATATAATTTCAACCAATCAAAAAAGGAATTTCAATAAAAAAATATATTGAAAGGTTTTTTAAACAGAAGCTATTTTTTTGTATGTCAGAAATCTTTGGTGGTATCTCAAACTTTTGGTTGATGGTCTAAGTTTTTAGCTTAAGCTCTAAGGTTTTGGTTGAACTCAAAAAAACTTTGAATTCAGAGAACATGAGCATCTTAGGCAGGGCCTAAGGAGGAACTATGTAACTATGTATCCCTATTGGTTAGTGCGGACTGAAGCAATTTCCTGGTGTACCCGCTTCAAATGTCAATACATTAAATGGTCGTTATTGGCGTTATCAGTCCCTTAAAATGTGTACAGACTGTCTCTCCTCTATACCTCCTAAGTTTGAAGGCACTTATCAGTCATTTGTATTCCTGATAATATGCAWTCAGGTGCAGTGGATTTAGCTCCTCCCCCGGGACATGGAGCTTCAGCAGTCYGCCCGGCTCACTGTCCTTTGACTGGAGGGAAGCACTGCGGCATGGAGATCTAGGCTGTTACTGGTGGTCGCCCCAGACATTGCTAACAGTTGCTAACTTTCCGGGTCTGCTCAGACATGTTTCACTCTTTYATCAACTGAACTCTGTGTTGCATCAAACATTTCTTTAACTTTCGTGTGGTTTTAGTTCAGTTTGTTTGACGACGGGATAAGGGAATATAARCTTAAAGTAGCTGTGCAATTTGGCTCAAATTTCTGTCAGCCATACCTCTAAGCCATAGAATTTCCCTGAAAGTTTCATCAAAATCTGAGGTGGATTTATTTTAGTTATTTTCATATTTTGCACACAACAGAGCCCTGCAACAGAGATTAGCCTGTCCAGATGCATAAAAAGCAATAAAAACAAACTATTACAAATCAGATAAAGGTTTCACAAATCCCAAACTTAATTAAAATATTCTAATATTAGTGTAGTATAATTTAGTTCAGGTTTGAGGAGTTTAAGTGTTGTAGTTTCGGAGCTAAACCAGGTCTAGTATTGTTCGGATGTGTAAAAAGTGGCATAAACGCCTTTCATTGAAGTTTCACAAATCAGATGAAGACTTCACAAATGCCAATTTCAGTTTTATATATTATGCAATCAGTGTAGAGCAATCTAGTCTAGGGTTGAAGAGTCTGAGCGTTTTAGTTTTTAAACTAGAGCAGAATGAAAACGCTCAAGGTAGTGAAAATTTAGTTGGAATCACCCTTTAGCCATTTCCTGAATCGGAAGCTGCAAACAGAAACTAACTTCAGCCTTCTTGCTCAGAGATGTTTCAAACTTTAATCAGCTGTTCTCTGTGGTGTAATGAACATTTCCTGGAAGTTTGATATAAATCTGTTAGGTACTTTTTGAGATAAAAGCTTGAGAATGCAATGGGGTAGCAGTCAAAGCACTCTGGATGGTGATAGAGCACAAGCTGCACGGAGGTCTTCTCCAGGCGGTTATGAGATGTTTGTTCTCTTTCCTGGACAACAGAAGATAGGACAGGAGAGCAGAGGAGGCTATATATGCAGGGGTTTGTTGTCTGTAAAATATGAAAATAAATCAAATAAATCCACCTTGGATTTTGATAAAACTTTCAGGGAAATTCTATCGCTTAGAGCTACCACTGACAGAAATTTGAGCCAAACCGCATGGATGGTTTAATAGTTGGATTTTGATTTAAATATATTCCCCTCCCACACAAAAGTGTCAGGAAATGTTAATCACACCACAGAGATCAGTCAATTAAAGTTTGAAACATGTCTGAACAGACCCGCAAAACTCCACTGTCTGTCTGTTAGCGACTGTTAGCAATGTCTGGAGTGACTATCAGCTACAGCCTGGATCTCCATGATGCAGATCAAGTGTTTTCCCCTGGGCAAAAAACAGTGAGCCGGGCCAACTACTAGAGCTCTGCATCTCGAGGGAGGAGCTAAACCCACTGAACCTGAATATTATCAGGCATACAAAATTAATGTATTGACAACATTCGATACGAAGGGTGTGCACCAGGAAATCGCTTTAGATCACACTAACCAATAGAGACACGTCTTCCAGTATTTCTCTGAGTCAAAAACTTTTTTGAGTTAAACCAAAACCTTAGAGCATCAACTAAGATTTATGTCATGAGAAAAAAAAGTTGGCAAAAAATCTTTTGGATTGATTATTTTTTTGCAATTATTGAAAAAGAAATTGTTTGCTAGGTTAATATATATATACAGTATATACTG